TATAAAGCTGCAAAATGTGTAAGTCACTGTTTTCAAACTCTGTTACCAATAAATTAACCTGTTAATAGTACAGATGAACATATTTTACCACTCTATCAGAAATCAAATGCAAGTCTGTTACAGTTTTTAAAAATAAGCTAAAAAAACTTAGGGGCAGACTTTTTAAAATAGATCTTATTTTTTAGAATAGTTTTAGGTTTATAGCAAAATTGAGCAGAAAGTACAGAGAGTTCCCATCTACTGACTAGGGGGCAGATTTTTTCTTTCATCTTTCATGATAAAAACCTAATATTTGACCATTTAACTCTGTGCTATGAACTGCTCTATGTATTAACTAATTTAATGTTTACAACAACCCCATGAGAGAGATACTATTATTGTCCCAGTTTTACAGATGAGGAAACTGAAACATAGAAAAGGTAATTTATTCAGAGTCAGATAGCTGGGAAATAGAGTCAGGATTCGAACCCATGAAACCCAGCTCTATACTCTTTTTTTTTTTTTTTTAAGATTTATTGTTTTTAGGGAGAGAGAGAGAGAGAGAGAGAGCGAGCACGAAGGGTAGGGGCAGAGGGTGAGGAAGAGAGAGAACCTGAGACAGACTCCCTGCTGAGCACAGAGGCTGAGGTAGGGCTCAACGCAGGGCTTGATCCCACGACCCTGAGATCATGATCTGAGCTGAAACCAAGAAGAGTCAGATGCCCCCCAGCTCTATACTCTTAACTATGGCCCTATAGGAACTTTTATCTATAACTTAAAACTTCGAAGTCTTTAGTTTGATGAATATTTTATCAAAATGTTTCATAATTTAAAGAGTTTGTGACTGTAGATGGACACCAGCTCTCTAAGTGTCACTAGCCTGAACCCAGATAGACTGTCATAAGTATGGATCTCAGTGGATATTACCCTTATGTAGTTTAGGCATGTTGCTGATGAATCCAGGGCCACTGGTTTGGGTTCCTCAAGGACCAAATGATGTCACACAGAAGATCTCTGTTCTCTAGACATTGTATTTTTCACCTCAGCCACTGTCTAACACACCTTTGTTGTCCTAGTCTAAAAGTTCAATTATTTAAAACTTGGGGAAAGTCAGCTGAGGATAGACGGAAGTATGACCTCACAATCAAGGTAGTCAGCTTAACACTGATCATCTTCAGAGAATGAAAGTGTAAATAGACCTTATAGGTTTTACATGAATTTGTTTTTTCTACATGAATTTTTTTCTTTCTTTCTTTTTTTTTTT